TCCTGTTCAAACCCTATCTCTTAGAGAGAAATTTTATTGGATGGAGGAATTTGACCATTATTTTTTGGACGATAATGAAGGAACCTTATTTAACGTCTGCAGGTTGAAAAGGTTATTTGTGTTATGTGAGGAGTGGAATTTGACTGTAACGGTCAATGCGGCTCACATAAAGAATGTGAAGAAAATAATTGAACGTTTTAAAGATCAAAACAACGTGATTGACAAAATAGCATTATTTGATTGTGAATTTCGTCTTGCACAAAGCGGATTGAGTGTGAAAGCTAGAAAACGTTGGTCAATAGTTTCGACCTCAGCAGTTTTATTGCTTATCTGAAACACTTATCACTTTAATTTTTCGATACTGTAAATAAGGTTGATTCGTGTCACCAGAACTTTCTGAAGGTTCAAAAGTGGCAGATGTTCCTGAACTATCTGACATGTTGCTGTAACGTGACCCAAATGGGATAAAGATTTGGGTGATGTTGCCTGACTGAACACATATTGCTTTTCCTAAAATTCTCATATATGCTCAGAATAGAAATATGTTTGAAACAGTATTGTGGATATTGAGTGAACACATTTTGCATGGAAGTGGCGGTGGACTTGATTTGACTGTACGATGGAACTCGTCGTGCACAGATCTACCACAGTGAATTGAAAGCTGGTACAGTGATTTCTGGGGTTACAGTTCACGTATTCTTAGCTTTATAAAAGATACATTCACCGTAAGGTCAAAATAAATCGTCCAATACACTCATGTTAAAATGAGGTGAACCTAACCGACGAGATAACGTCAATTGCGGTGCGAAGCGTCACAAGCTCTAGGTAACGAACAACAGATTAACTAATCAGGAGTCGTGAGGTTCAAACGGAAGCTCTATGATGTTAAGAATGCAATGAGGCCATTGGTGAAGACCTGTTTAACCAATGACATTTCTTTGTACATGATATTTAATCCAACTGATTTGCCTTAATCAACTAACCGCTTCTTCTGTGGCCTTCCTCCCGCGTCCCGGTGTCGGGAGATTCCAACCTACGATTTCTAGAGCGATCCTGTGTTTCATTTGCGACCGTGATTCGTAATCTGTAATCCGTACCTTCTTCGATTACGATAATTTAGTCGCGCAACGGACCTTCCAACAATCGAGCCAATGAACCAGTCACTCCAAAATCGAGGAATTGATGGAGCGGTTCGAGTTGTGGTGCAGCTTTCGCAAAGGTGGCGCGCAGAATCCATCGGCCCTATTTCTCACTGCTGGCGACCGTGTCCCTCATTACGGTTTCTTTACCCATATGTACAAAAGAATTCATGTTAAAAATTAAGGATGTGACGAAAAATTTCACTGCATTGTTGGGATTGCCAGTCATTAGTCAAGCGTAAAAATACTTCAAACGCGGAAAATGCATTCGTGCCAGCTGGCAAACCGCTCTTGGTGGTGCTAGTCTCAGCAAGCGGACTGCACCTACAGTTGTGAGTAACAATATCCATTCTTTGTTTGGGAAGCTTCCGGATTCATCTTATCTGCACCAGTGAAAGGAATTTCGCACATCTTGTGTCTTGTGTTTTCAGGAGTCACGGCTCAATGATGATGTGGTTCAACTGGATAAATTTGTCTGCCTCGGACAGAATCGACAACGGTGTAGGAGGAAGTTAGGAGGCAGTGTGACAACCTACATCAGCTCCAAGTGTTGTGCAAAGTTCGAAAACTTTCCGAGTATTCGCAGTAAGGCATTGATGACCTGTCTGTCGTCTGACACCCCAAATTTTACTGCTTTCCTTTTATCTCCATCACTATTTTGGACATTGCAACCCATTGTAGGTTGTCAGACATTGACACGTTTTATTATCGTTTCCTGCCTCGTCTCTTGCCGACAACTTGCATCTAATAGCTGTTTACTTTAGNTACTTTAGACACGTCTCACTGCATCCTTTATTCTGTCTAAAGCTCAGTTATCTTATTATTGAACCAACTAGAGAAACCTGCCATCTGGATCACATAACCACAATTCACTCTAACACATTTTCTACCAAACATTTCTCCCCTTAGGGACCAGTGATCATAATCCGATCCTTCTCAAACCTAAGATTTACTCACACTCAGGATATTTTTCTTTTAATCGACCATCAACGAGCTCTTTACCCAGGCAATAATGCTGTGCTAAGATAGTCTATTGAAGTAGTTGCCGATTGATTTCCTCAACACAACCTGTTGGTCCAACATGACATTTCTCACACACGTGTTAAACATATGCTGTCCTGTGGTAACTTTGTTCCTTCAACTTGGCAGAATATCAACATCTCTTCTTAAACGTCTTCGTTGTGAAAGGGAACGCTAATTTAGATGTGGAAGGAGGGCTGAAATGCAACGACTATATTTTCTGATCAAG